ACAAAAATGATACTAAAAATACGAAGATCTGAACAAATTGTTGCTGATCGTGTGACTGTTTGTTAAATGAATTAAATGAAGGGCATGACAAAATCACCGTTTACAGACTCATGTTTAAGTGAAATGTTGAGGACTAAACATGTCTTACTTACTTACTTACGCCTGTCACTCCCAATGGAGCATAGGCCGCTGACCAGCATTCTCCAACCCACTCTGTCCTGGGCCTTCTTTTCTAGTTCCATCCAATTCTTGTTCATTTTTCTCATGTCTATTTCCATTTCTCGGCGTAATGTGTTCTTTGGTCTTCCTCTTTTCCTTTGGCCTTGAGGATTCCATGTGAGGGCTTGTCTTGTGACGCAGTTGGGTGCTTTCCTCAATGTGTGTCCTATCCACTTCCAGCGCTTCTTCCTGATTTCTTCCTCCGCTGGGATCTGGTTTGTTCTCTCCCACAGTACGTTGTTGCTAATAGTGTCCGGCCAACGGATCTGAAGTATTTTGCGTAGACAACTGTTAATAAACACCTGTATTTTCTGGATGATGGCTTTCGTAGTTCTCCAGGTTTCTGCCCCATACAGTAGAACTGTCTTGACATTTGTATTGAAAATCCTGACCTTGGTGTTGGTTGACAGTTGCTTTGAGTTCCAGATGTTCCTCAGTTGTAAATATGCTGCTCTTGCTTTGCCGATCCGCGCCTTCACATCTGCATCAGATCCACCATGTTCATCAATGATGCTGCCCAAATATGTAAAGGTTTTTACATCTTCCAAATCTTCTCCGTCAATTGTGATTGGATTGGTGCATGCTGTGTTGTATCGGAGAATCCTGCTTTTCCCTTTGTGTATATTGAGACCTACTGCTGCTGAGGCTGCTGCCACACTGGTCGTCTTCTCCTGCATCTGTTGTTGCGTTTGGGATAGAAGGGCCAGATCATCTGCGAAGTCTAGATCGTCCAACTGCATCCTAGATGTCCATTGTATCCCGTGCTTCCCTTCAGACGTTGACGTCTTCATGATCCAGTCGATCACCAGGAGAAAGAGAAAGGGTGAGAGTAAGCAACCTTGCCTGACACCGGTCTTAACTTCGAACGACTTTGTCAACTGTCCTCCATGCACAATTTTGCAGTTAATCCATCATATGAATTCTGTATGATATTGACTATCTTCTGAGGCACGCCGTAGTGTCGAAGAAGTTTCCATAGTGTTGTTCTGTCCACGCTATCAAATGCCTTTTCGTAGTCAATGAAGTTGATGTAGAGTGATGAATTCCATTCAATTGATTGTTCCACAATGATCCGTAGAGTTGCGATTTGGTCTGTACACGATCTATCCTTACGGAATCCTGCCTGTTGGTCACGAAGTTGGGCGTCTACGCAGTCCTTCATCCTGTTTAACAATACCCTGTTGAAGACTTTTCCCGGTATTGAGAGAAGAGTGATGCCCCTGTAGTTATCACAGTTGCTGAGATCGCCTTTCTTCGGTATTTTGATCAGAAGTCCTTCTTTCCAGTCTTTGGTACTTGTTCCTCATCCCAAATCTTATTGAAGAGAATGTGGAGTATCCTTGCAGTTGCCGCTACGTCTGCTTTTAGTGCCTCTGCTGGATGTTGTCCGGTCCTGCTGCTTTGCCACTCTTGATTTGTCTGATGGCCATGCTGATTTCTTCAATTGTTGGTGGGCCAACATTGATTGGGAGGTCCGTGGGTGCTGCTTCGATGTTGGGTGGGTTCAGTGGAGCTGGTCGATTCAAGAGTTCTTTGAAGTGTTCTACCCACCTGTTTTGTTGCTCTTCAATGTTGGTGATTACCTCGCCTTCCTTGCTTTTCACTGGTCGTTCTGGTTTGCGGCGATTTCCAGAGAGTTTCTTTGTCGTGTCATACAATTGTCTCATGTTTCCTTCTCTTGCAGCCTTTTCCGCCGTCGTTGCTAAATCTTCCACATATTTACGTTTGTCGGTTCTGATGCTCCTCTTCACTTGTTTGTTTACTTCTGTGTATTCAGCTTGTGCCTTGGCTTTTTCTGCTCTTGTTCGACTGGTATTGATTGCTGCCTTCTTGTTCCTTCTTTCTTGAATCTTATCCAGTGTATCAACAGTGATCCATTCCTTGTGATGGTGCTTCTTGTGACCCAGGACCTCATGACATGTTGAAGTGATTGCCTCTTTGATCCCCTTCCAGTTGCTCTCCACAGTAGTTCCTTCTCCATTGAGTAGATCATGAAAGGCCTGGAACTTTGTTAGTATCTTGAAGAAAGGCCGTATTGAACTTTTGTGATATTGTCCGCCCCGTTGTCCAGTGCTTCTTGAGTTTCAATTTCATCTTGGCGACCAGCAAGTGATGATCTGATGCTATATCAGCTCCTCTCTTGGTTCTCACGTCCTCTATAGTCCTCCTGAACGTTTTGTTGATGCAAATATGGTCGATTTGGTTTTGTGTATAGTGATCCGGTGAAGTCCATGTGGTTTTGTGTATGCGTTTATGTGGGAATATGGTGCCGCCTATGACCAGCTTATTGAAGGCACATAGGTTTGCAAATCTCTCACCATTTTCGTTTCTTTCTCCCAGTCCGTGTCGTCCCATGATGTCTTCATATCCAGTGTTGTCCGTTCCAACCTTGGCACTGAAATCCCCCATCAGAATGGTCAGGTCCTTTGTTGGGCACTTCTCGACGATTGACTGCAGCCTATTGTAGAATTGATCTTTAGCGTCTTCATTGTAGTCGTTGGTAGACGCATAGCATCGGATGATGTTCATTGAAATACCCTCTTTCTTTGTTTTGAACGAGGCTTTGATGATCCTTGGTCCATGAGATTCCTGGTATATAGTTCTTGTATTTTAAAAGATAATGTGTAATTTTGTAGTGAAATAAATTGGTTGCCTCCACCTAAGTGTCTGTACCGGTTGGAATACATTACCGTTCGAGTACCATGAATCTCCCTACACTTCTTACTGTATCTCTGTTGTGTATCTTTTTGCACCACTAACAATGTTTCTTACTTTAAAATAAAGAAATACTTGACTGTTATCCTCTTTTGATTTGTTGAATCCAATTTGAACTTCAGTTAGAATGAACCTATTTCACATTAGAACACGAGTGAGTTTACGCAAAAATATGTACGAACGCTTAGTAGTTAGAATCGCTAAACCTGAAGCTCCTTGTATAGTGGGCAGTAACAGCACCTCTGTCAGAGTCTAATTAAAGTGTATTTATAGCATCCATAGCCTGCTTGGACAACTTTAACTTGATTCATTTAAGTGGTTTTCCACTTATTGCCATGAATTCAGTGACTCCTCATACAACGACCAACATCTTTTCGTGTTAGGATAATCAAGGTTTGAACAACCTGTGTGTGATCCAAACTTGGAAACTTCGTCCAGGCTTAAAGTCTATGTATAAAAAGCGACATGGATATTAAAAAAAGGATAGAGTTAAGGGAACCTCATGATTTCGAAACCCTTAGATCTACAGTTCACAAATTTGCCTTAACATTAGTCCTTCTCTACTTTATTTTTCGTAGATAAATCAGTAATATACAGGTTTTTCGCACAGAACAATCTGCCGTCGGAAATCGCTAAAAAGACAATGAGTGCTGCACCTTTAACTAACTCATTCAAGATAAAGATAGACACTATCTGAAGTCTTTTGAAAACAACTAGCACATTCCGCCAGTTTAATGTCACCAACGCACAAATGAAAATCAAATCTGAGTTTTATTGTGTGTTGAATAACCTTGGATTTTAAGTAGCTCTTTCGATCCGTAGGTCACTTTCATGTCGCAGGTTTACTGTACATATTGACATCCAAGTGGATTTCACAGTTGATTCTCATTGCGTAAGTGATTGATTGTTCGGCACACGACTTGCTTAATAACATCGTATTTTGGTAAACTTATGCAACTGTTATCCGGACATCTTAGTGTTACTAATAAATTAGCTTAGTTCCCAATTTCCCTATTTTGGGGGGAATGTTGTGAGGTTTTGGTAAATTTTGAGCCAACCGCTTTAAAAAGCTCTGAGGAAAAAACGCAAAACCCCCTAAATTCCCTCAGGCCTGGGAAAAATCCCCGAAGTTTTGTGGGGAATTTTCTGGTTTCTCCTCAAAATTTCCACATAATCTTATAACACCTTGAGGACAAGCAAAGTTATCAGTTTAGGACATGTCTTCGTGTTATGCAAAATGTAGGGAACCGGGATTCTTCGATCGATTATGACTTTCTAATTGAGGTCTCAATGACCGTACCAGTCGGTGTCTTGAGACCCTATTAAAAATGAATAGAAGCCATTACATTATTAATAAAAGTGAAGTAACCTTCCTTGAGTTGAGTAATCCTTTCTTGTCTGTACTTTTAACAACTGTATTTCCTATAATTCCATTCATTCATTCTTTGTGCAGCCTTTCCGTTAACCATCTCTTTAGAATACTACTACTTTGTTTGCTTGGTGTAATTTTTACCGGCTTACGCTACAATTTACTGGCTTATTTATAGATAAGAATAATTCCTTAGAAGCACTTCTCACGCTTATACACAAATTATTTTTTTAAAATTTATCACAGTCAACACATACAATTGTATGGGATTTCGAATTAACATAAACTAAGATATTTCGGGAATACTGAATCTTTATGAAGTTTTCTCATCTAGTGTCTACGTACGATTCTTTTTTGCTCATCATAGCGCTAGTATGCTCTGATTGATATTTTGCTCTCTATTTTCCAATTACCGAAATATTTGTCATTAAATATAAAGAATAACTGATATTTTCTCACCAACTGTGTTTAATTGGTGATTACTTATTATTAATAGTGACCTGAAAGTAACGGAAATCTTTGTATCTTATAGGTTTCCATACTGGGTTATTTTATATTCATTTTAAGATTTGCTACTTTGTCTTAATTTTTCTATTGCTTCATTACTTTTTAGCAGAACACTTCTAAAAAACGTACTGGACGTCATTGTGTTAGCTCAGTTGCGAAAAAATGCCTATCGAGTTCAGTGTTTTAGAACATGCAGGATAATCAAAGTCTTCGTATTCCTTATTATCGTCTACATCCTGGACGTAACAGATTTTGTTGCCATGGCAGAGGGGTCTTTTCCCGGGATATGTGTATATTCACTATTACCCTCCTTTTAATTATCTCAGTTACAGTTCTCTTCTTTGCTTTTGACTGCCGTTTTTTAACCCCCATCTTAACTCCTGCTGTTCCTATTTTAGCAGCGATCCAGTTCCTATATGTTGTTACTGCATTTCTTCGTACAGCATTCACAGATCCAGGAATTATACCACGGGCCACACGTCCTGAAGTAGAATGGACTGAACTGTCAATTAGTAAGCTTACTAGTCTAATCTATGTTCCTTTAATAGTCTATATATATAAACTTACTAATCTTAACTCCAACTTAGTTTCACTCTTTCTTAATTTTGTCTCAAGTATCGTTTCTGTAAAATATTTAACACTATTAAGGTCTTAATTTTTGAAAAAATATAGTTTGACTTGAGAAGGCGCAAATATTTCATCAATCACACTCAAGTGAAGTTATAGTTTGCTTTCTGACGGCATCTGCCAACACGCATATAATAATGCACTTCTCATTCCTTTTGTGTTTTTCTTTTAAAATTTCTATATACTATATCGCTGGAGATAAAGTTTCTGAAACTCTAACTGATTACATTTGATCAGTAATCTGCCTTAACTTAGAGCGTCCATTTTCACATTTTTGATTTAGTGTGTACACGTTCCCTGTTGTGCGTTATTTACTAGAGTTAACCTTATTCTTCTTCAATCATACTAAGACTTATCAACAAATGAACACTGTGTTGTTTTCCACTCCGAGTTTGTTAATAATATACAAGCTTCATGTACGGACGCCCAATCTACCACTTGATTGAGATCAACAATTAGTAGGAAATTTTTATTAGTTAACTGAGTTAAAAATATACGCACAACGTATTCATAACCACATCTGTCTCTCCCAAAAAATGAAGCCGGGTTTTTAACCACTAACATATTTCTGTTTCTTCAGAAAACTAGGCCAAATCTCGACCATTGGTGTGTTTCCATTAGCATCCTCCACTTATCTTTTGGTCTACGTTTTCTTTGCTTAGCGTATCACCATGTCATTTTACTACCCCACTAATCACATTTGATTTGCTTACACTCCCAAGTTAGATGAACTTATTTGCGATTTCTTTATGACATGAAAATTTCTAAGATATAATGATGGGTTCCTATATTCTAGCATCGTCAAATAATAATTTTATGTCGTGAACATATGACATTAATCAGTCTAAAATAAAAGTGATCTGGTTATTGAGATAGCGAGGTTGTTTGAAAAAGTTATCCCTCGCAGCATGAGTCAAATAGTCGTGAGAAATTTCATCTACATATTTATGCGATCTATAAAACTCTTTGTCGCCGATCCCTAACTACTAATATCGGTCGTCATTATAAACCTTGTGTTGAATAAAAATTTGAATGCTGTAATTTCTTTTTTTAACTAGGTACTGGAGATGTATCTGTAAATGACTCGAATAACAAAAGTGAGCATGATGTAAATGCAGTTCGAACTTATCCACCCGGTGCCAGAACACGTCAAATTCTAATTGGAGATCATCTAGTCAAAATTAATTATTGTCATAGTTGTCGAATTTTCCGTCCACCAAGAGCGTCACATTGCTCTTCGTGTGATAATTGTGTTGGTAAGTCGCTTTGAAAAACGTTTAATATCATGTTTCTTGTTTTTGTATTCTTGGGCAAGATAATTTACGGATTAGAAATTCTGTTTGAAGTACTGCACGCTGTTTTAATATTAAGGGTAATCGTAATTTATTGATTTAGGCAGTTTATTCGTCAACTACTAGAAAATAATCCACAATCCTATCTTCAGATTTAACATGATAGGTATAATTCTCAGTCTTGTACCAAGTCTACGTAGCCAGTACGCCTGATTTTCTTCCTACTAATTTTGCTTAGTTATCATAGATTACTCACTTTATGTTACCAATTTACACAAATGCAGTTTTCTACATCGTTACAATCCAGAGTATGATTATTACAACGTTATTCCATCAGAAAAATTGAACTTCCACACCAAGAAATATGTTTAAAGATTTTTATTTTTATTCTGATTTACAGATTTTTAGATTTATCTCGTTCACAGATTGTTTTAGCCGTAAGTTGTGATTAGTAGTCTGTAATGTGTGTACCACTGAAGAAACTCATCAATACCATGTGTGTCATCCAAAGAATTTTTCGATCCATAATGTATGGTTTGCAAATGATCGATCAAAGCCAAATTTGCAATCTGAAGGTTACTTTCCAACCAATCTAAAGTTTTTTTAGTTTGTCTCAAAGAAAATGATGACCTTTGTAATTCTGCCTAGTTCACTAAATTGTAAATCATTCTGCTAGAAGTTTTAGCTCACCTTTTAAATATATTATGACTATGTAAACTATAAAACTACATGGATCGATCAATCCGACTGTAACCAAACGGTGTTATTTAATGCTGACATCCGTTGTTACTATTCTACCATGAAGATATTTAGATAGAGTTATTTTTAAAAAATGTAGTGATCTTTATCTAGTAAGAACATTTTAGTTCTTATTGTAGCTAAAGGATGAATGCTGTTCTAAAATTGACATTTAACCAGCTGTGTTAATTTACATCACATGTAAGGTGACAATGATTGCAACAAATTATTAAAAGCGGAGTGCTTTAGACATATAGTTTATTTTATTCCTGCACACATGGAGTTGAACTCTTGATTTTCAGAGAGTTTAACAAACACATTGATTCAGTATATTTTCTTGACGTGGTGGTCAACTCTATAAAAGTACCAAATAGAATGATGTTAAAAACAAATATATTGGCGTTTTGTTAGTAATCATACTAGTGATTTTCATTCATTTCACATAGTATATCTATCCACCAGCTTCTTTCACAGTACCCCTCCTTAGTTTAAATAATAGTGATATAATAGTATATCATAGGGTGATGCATATAAGACACATGCCCCCATACTCTTCATTCGTCGTCAATTTTGTGCACTGTGTTTTAAGCCATAGCCCCTGAATGTCCTGGTACGGCTGGGGGTGGGGAGTGTCAGTGCTCATGGGCTTCAGGATCCTGAAGGAACAAATGGCGTATGAACCAATTATTGGTCATTGGCTACCATGGGACTGCATCTCCTGACGTTGCTCCATTGCCTTGTGAATCAGACCTCTAGGTGGAATGCTCTGGCTGTGGCCCCCTAAGAAAACCACCTGCTTCAGTCTGGGCACCCGGGCAGTATCACAGCCTACATACAAATCAAGTGACTTGTGTGACGCATATGTATTTGGTGCCCCTTTTTACCAATGTTTGTGTGTTCAAATAAATAACTTAATTAATTAATAAGGCATATCTTGTGTAGTGCAAAATTTTATAAAACTACCCCACTTATCTTGAAATCTGGATCCGAAACCTGCCGAGTTACATATGTGCTTCCGATATTAGATTGATTGAGTTGAGCGTGAGACTTTCAAAAAGCGACAATCAGTATAAGATCTATCATAAAAGTCCATCTTCTTAAATTTCCACACCAACTCCGCATGATGAAGTAACTACTGTCATGTGTTTTTAGTTTCCCCCCCCATATTGTCTGTCGGGAAGTACAAGTCGCATTTCGATTGGCGAATAAATCACGTAATAATTAGCCGAGCTTAAAGTCACAACAGTTTTTATTTCAAATATTTATAGCTATATGTTTTCACTTAGACCTATAAAGATTGATTGATAGTCTGTTTGAATAGATGTTGGACTTTCAAACCAAAAATCTTTATAGTAATAAAAATTTTTATAATTGCACATTTTTGCATTTTTTGTTTGAATCCTTGTAGAACGTTTTGATCATCATTGTCCATGGATTGGAAATTGCGTTGGCCAAAGAAACTATCGTTATTTTATATTATTCATATATTCCCTGAGTATCTATTGTCTTTATATTTTAGTGTTTTCAATAGTCAATTTAATTTTATGTAAGTAGTTTACATATATACACAATTTTGAGTTTCATTATGATCACAAATGATTTGCTGGAGTAAACTAATTCATAGATAGTTTTTTTGCCCTAGTGTGGGACTGCTTAGCAGTCGATGTTTTTGATCTCACGTAGGATCGAACCCATGACCTTTAGGTCTCCCAACAACTTCTTAGCCTTTATATCATTGGACTGGCATTCAGTAGTTTACATACTGAACTTCACCTGATTCGCTATATTGCCCAATCATCTCCCAATATCATTGGTAGGAAGTGCCTCACACTTGACATAACTGAACTCCACTAGTCATGGCTTCTCATTATGGTTTCTAAAGTTACCTCCTGAAATTGGCCACTAGTGAGCACATGATCATTATCAGTATAGGAGTTTTGTAGAGATAGTTCAATTTTTTGGTTCGCATGATAGACCGACTTCAATAAGGGAGTCATTAAAACCAAGAAGCATTGGATCTTTGTATACCGTCTCAGTAGTCTAAAGGTTAAGCACTCATTGCCAGACTTAAGGATCCTGGGTTTGATCCATAGTGGGGTTATGGATGCTCATTGCTGAGGGCCCCGTACTTTATCACTTATCAGCTGTCCGGTTCTTCCTAGTTTTCAACAGCTGTATAATTAACGTCAATTCGTGTTGTAAACTACAATTCAACGATATTCTCAAACCTTCTGTACTAATAATATTCTCTAGATTATGACACATACTCTATTTTGTCATTAATTAGATTTTAATAGCATTTTGTCTCCTTATTGGAGTTGTTGCTTTATCATTGAAGTACTCTGACGTATGAACAGTTGGTCGTAAACTGAAACTTCCCTACATCTATTTCAGTTTAGCCGGCTAATTATTATTTCTCGCTAGTCTTTTAAATAATGTAGATTTAGGTCATATACATAAGCTTATGTGTACCCTTAGTAAAGGGTTTAACTATCATATTACATAATACATTAGGTACTGTCCATTATTGTCGATATATTGGCTTTGTTTCTTTGATGAGGAGTTTTACCGTCTTCTTAAATTTAGCCACTGTCTTTCTCTTGTTCCGTTCAACTCGTCTGTGTTTTGAAGGAGAAGATAATCCATTTTTTTCTATTTTAATATGTGTTTACTCATCAGTGGAAAATGTTCGGAGAAATTTGTGTTTTTCTCATAATAACCTTATTGAAGAAATACTTTCTAAGCTGAAATTTTTCTTTAAAATTCAAAACCTTTTTATTTTTTCACGATACTTTTATAAAAATTATGTTTTTATTTTGCCAACTATTGATTGAATTTTTTGGATTCCAAACGTTATGATTTATTGATTATTAGTTAAATTGAATTCACGGAATGTATCTGTTTATTTGCTTTTTTATTGAGATCATGAACCGGTTACAGTTAGACAACCACCGGAAACACTAGGTCTTGGTGTAGTATGACTCGGTTGTCTAACCTTCTACATCATTGGATCTCGGCATGCTCAGCATGCTCACTTGAAACGAAAGGTCTTGGGTTCGATCCGTGGTAGTAGAGTCATGAATGTACGCTTTCAAGCGGTCCTATACTAGGAAGAAACAGCTGTCCAGTGCTTCCAGGTTTTCAATGGTTGCCTAACTTAAATCGTCTTGTGATCCCAATAGAACTCAATAATCTCTACAACATCCGTATTTATTTTTGTTTGGTTTATTTAACTGCCATCTATTTACTTCAGATTTATTTTGGTAGATTTGTTTAATTTATTCAATTAGTATCTTTTGGGAATATCTACTTTTTGATTTATTGTTTTATGTAAAATGAATTTAGATTCGGTTCGTGAATTATTCTTCATGATATTTCTACAGTTATTTATCTATTTATTCAACTCGTTTGTCAGCTACACCTTTATGTACTTAACCTAAAGCTACACTCTGTGTGAGGGTTTTATCCTATCCGGTTACCCACACCGAAGTAGGTGGGTAGGGATTAACACCAACAACTCAGTAGCTGCAAGTCGAACACCCTAATCACTACCGAGCCATAACTTCATTATGAATTTGTTTGGAGTTGGTTAACGAGAAAATATATAATCATCCTTAAAGTTCTATTGTGTGTATTTACACATAAATTCATCAATGTTTTTGTAATGATTCAGTATTATTGTACTCTTATATGATTCCAAATAGTCTTGGAAATGTAAGTTATGAAATCGATAATTATTAATTCATAGCAATTATGTTAGTTGTTGTGACTGGTTGATTTTAGTCAAATCAGTAGTAGTAGTAGTAGTGTGGTGAGTGCTATTCATGCTGACAGATATAAGTAATATGTAGCCGTCATTGGAAATGGAGTACCTGGCAGCAGAAGATTAAATTAAAGATAACAGAAAGGAAATTAAAGAGCAATCAGTAATAATTGAATAATTGCATAGGTAAAGGACCACACAAAGAAGATGTAAGCCACTGTGTAATTTTGCATTATACCGTAAATTAGTTTACCCTATAAGTCTTCGTTCGGTGCAGTAGTAGTATTAGTATTACAAAAAAAAATTAAAAATAGTAAAACAACTACACCAAGAAATAGACTAAAAATAATCCATTATTATCGTCATAATAATCAAGGAATATACGTTAGTCAAAATATCAACAAAATCTTCCCATTTCTATACGTTTTCAATCTACAGTTCAAAATGAATTATATTCGTTTATTTTCGATAGTTGTTCGGCAAACAGAAGAGGAACTGTACGGAAAACACCAGCTATTATTGAATAAAAACAGTCATATATTATTTGTGTGTATGTATAGCTTGAAATGAAATTCACTATTTGACTTTAATCACAGACTGACATCAGCTGTCAAGCCATTGACAACTGGTGACGATCAATCACGTCAGTTAGTCAGTCATAATCAATGTAGAGGCTGGAAAGTAAGCATGCTTACCTGAGCTGCCATACCGGCTCAACACGATGAAATGAAATTAACAAGGTGATTAGCTTGGACGTCGAAATAAAATAGTGATAATAATGACTCGAAATATTAAACGTTGTGAATATATTTCGGAAGGACTGAATGAAAAGGTCTGTCCGAAGGAATACTGGCAATCAAGATCCAAAGTAAGACAAAAAGTGACAGACTACTAACCATATCTCCCAGTCTTCAATCACTAATAGCGTTTACTGCACAGATCCCAATTAGGAAGTTTACATTTATCAACATAACTGAGACGTACAGTCAGTTGTCCTTTGGTTTGTTGGCTATGATGTCACTCTATGGTAGTCACACTCTATCTCAAGTTAACTAAACTTAGAATTGCGGATAATTATGTTTCAACTTCGTTGCTTATCAGTATATTACTGGTTGCCATATTTGTAGTTCCTGTATTCAACCTTTGATGAAATGATAAATCTCAAACGAGATCTAATCTTTCTTTTTTAATGGAATTTTCAGCTAATTTGTCGCTCCATATTTGTAAGAAACTATTTACAAATTATAGCCTTTTTTTGTAAAATCCTTTTAACTCTTCATGGTACAACTGTTCATATTTTCTTTGTTAAGTCCTCAGCATTTAAGTAACTGTGGACAAATCGCTCCGAAAGATTATTCTTTTAATCTACTGAGTCAAAGGACCTGGATCTAAGGGGTGTCGAATCAATATTCTATACACTGCTGAGGCATTGGCAATCAACGAACTCAAACCTGAACTTTGCGTGCAGAAACGATTCGTTCAACCTCTTATCCCTCCGTGGCCCTAATTCCCTTAATGGATATCATTCTGGTTGGTTTTTCTTGCATGTTTTTTCTGCACTTTTCTTTGATTATTATACTCTTCATTGTCTATGACGTTCATTTTAAGAAGCTTTAATAGATTCGACTTCACTCTGGATTCCAATTTTCTAACATTAATATTAGATGAAGCGTCCTGCAAGAATTTACTCTGATCACCTAGTATAAATAACATTTTTTTTCTTTATAGTCACATTTATTGATAACGACCACCCGTGAACCTTTGTCAGGTCTGAGGATCACAATATCTGACCTACTCTAGAGGTTTTTTAACGCGGCAAATGTTTAGAAGTTAAAATACTCCTTTGTCTGATTTGAGAACTGTGAAAGTGGTAGGCAACGTCAACCAATTTTTCCTATCTAGGGTGGTTGGGACAAGAGGGTTCAACTGATCATAGAGATTTTCAAATTGAGCATCTATCGACAGATCAGAAATCTTGGTATATACAACGGAGAAATTAAATCCGAGTGATAGGGCTTCCTTCTCAAATACAGAAAGCCTAACAGTTGATAAATTTGATACATATTTATCAGGGTTAAATTGAAATGAATTTCCATCATTATCATCCATAAGAGATTTACTCAGCTTTTGTTTGGTAGTATAATTTGTTTTAGCAACCACTGTACTGCAAAAGTTCATGAATTTAATATGACATATAAGAGAGATATTCGATAATACGCATGATGCCTGAGTATGAAGTTCAATTAGTTTATTTATCATATCATTGCATTTTTCTTTATGAGATTTCGCAAGCCGCAAAAGATTAGAAACATTTGGATGCAACTTATTGGGTCGTAAGGATTTATAAAACTGTCTTAGAAATGTGTGTGTAATAATGCAGGTCTTGTAAAACTCCAGTTTTACCTTTTCAGATGCAATTTTGCACTTCAGATTAGCAAGTTCATCTAACCGTTTGATGCAAGACGAAGGGAGTCTTCTTTTCAAGAATTAAAAGCAATTAGTCCCTTTTATAAATTTCGATAGAACAATGAGAAGACGGAGTTTATCTGAAAAATGTGATGTATTTGAGCTATACATTTCGAACAATCTGGTCACACATACATGTCAAGGCATTTTTATATGAAAATTAATAAAGGTCAATTAAATGAAAGTTCAAGTAAAATAACAAAGGTGAGAGAAAGAATAAGAAATTGTCGCGTTATCCTAGGCCATAGAATGACTTAAGGATTACCAAGGTAAATTCAAGGTTACGACGGTGTAGTTATGGGTAGCCCTTTGGGGCC